TAAAGATCATCTAGTTCAGGCTCCTCATTTTAGAGTTGAGGAAACTGAGCCCAGTGACTTGTTCAAGATCATAGAGCAAGTAAGTGATAGAGATGGGATTTGAACACAATCCTCTAACTCTGATCCCATGGTTCTTTCTATGACTCCTTTTGTAATGGCATCTTCTAATGTTGCCTTGTATTCCTCCTCCTTCCACCTTGGAGGATCAGGTCACTGAGTTTTCTTGTCCTTGCTTTAGCATTGTGCTAAGCAATCTCTCTGATTTGCCATACTTAGCTTGGCTAAGTAATACCATCTTGGCATTTTCCAGTATAAGGTCTAATAGGTTACCATGTTCTCTTATACAAATGGTCTTTACATCAACTGAATACAGTTTTTGTCAGAATCCTCTATGCCCTGGGAAGAGGTGTTAAAGTCAGCTACCCAACTTCAAGTGTTAGCTAGTGTTCTGCCATTTAAAAAAATCAAAGTAAAACTGTTATCTAAGGTCATAGACATAGAGCTAAATAGGATCTCAGAGGTCATTCTCATTTTATGCATTGGCAAGCAGTCAGCTAACAAATGTGTAGATTCAGGTAATTTAAGAAAGAAATCATGAGTTTCTAAGGAAGGCCACATTTAAAAAACATAATCGGCATATTGCAATCTAACACAAACATTTACTATTAGTATATGATTATTTCTCTAAATAATCAACATAGGCATAGTATTAACCTCTAATTCTTCAGGTAGCTGCTTGGCCCACTGCACCATTAATACTAGGTTGGATCAGCATAAGAAAATGAAATTTCTCTCTCCCATAGCCATCAACATTAGGAAAAGGTGTTTATTAAGTGCCTACTTGTATGTGACATTGTGCTAGGTGCTATTCAAAGAGAATCATCTTAAATGAATACACATTTTCAGAACCAAAAAATTTGGATTATGTTGTCCCAGTTTAAGAGAACCTTCTAGCTACTCATTTAGGTCAGATAGCATGTACAGCAAAGTTATTCTCTCATTTACACAAGTAAGAGGTTATAAAGAAATGGCTGCCTGTGGACAACTAGAACAAGATTGCTAAATGTATCTCTGGGAAAAGCAGATACTATTAGAAAGGTTAAATTTGCCAAATTGTTTAGATGTGCACCACACCATACAGATTCTCTGAAAACCATACAGAAAAGTGATTTTATTCCAGCTCCTAGTCTAAGTTTTGCAAGGGACCAATGATATTAATGATTGTTTTGTTTGTTATTCTGACAAATAGCTTCCCACCATGATCAAGTTTTCATGATTTGACCTTAAAACCCAGAAGGTCATTCCTTCTTTCATTAAATCCACTTGCACAGTGGGTTGGCTTCTTCCACACCATCCATGAAGCACTGGACAGCCAGACCGGATTAGAAAGCAATGATTTCTTTCTTGAACCTCAGCTGTGCTCATAATGACTGCTATGCCACAAAAATGTTCCTTTACATTTTACAAGCTTTGAGAAGTTTCCGCTTGCAAAAATAGAGAATTAACAACATAATCTGTGTGGGGTAGGGGCCAGGGAGAGGACTGGAAATTATAGCTAGCACACTCCCCTGCAGTCTGTCAACCTCAGGGCCAACTGGCTTCCCCATCCAGTTTAAAGAAGCAGGAGGACCTAACTTTCCATTAGAAAGCAGCAATATTTTGGTGCTCTTTTTTACATGGGGAATACAAAAAAGTCCAAATTATTTATTGCTCATTGGGAAATAGGGCAATAAGGCCTTGTTGCATTTTCTTAGCAAAACTTGTATTGTCGGTTTAAAAAAAACAACTACTCTTCCTCAGTGTAAATGGGAATGGACCATAGCATCAAATTCAAATTGGTATTAGATGATGAAGTTCATGGCAACAAGTATTTCTGTACCCAAAACTGTCTTAAACACTTTGGGAGAAAGAAAAGATGATTGAATTTTAAATTTCACCCATCTCCAGTACCAGAAGGTAATAATACCAGCTGTATACTATTCTACATTACATGTGTGCAGAATTCTACTGTTTGCAATGTGCATCAAGATCCATGATCTCATTGAATGCTCTCAATAACCCTTTCATTTCCCACCAGGATGCGCTCTTCTGAATTTGCCTACCATGCCACAGATACTTTTTCATCTTGGAAGTTCACTTAAGCCCTGCAACTCACAACTCCCAAATACTGTCTGCTTCCCTCTGGTTGCATGGCTCCTCCCAGATCTTCCATTAAGACCAGACCAGCCATCTCAAGATTTCTCACCAGGCTGAGTGTGTCAAGATCCATGATCTCACTGGGTGTTCTCAATAACTCTGTGTTATAGACAAAACAGTCATTATGTCTTCCATTTCACAAAAGAGGTTTCAGTGGTGCACTGCCAGTCAGTCAAGAAATATTTATTAAGTTCTAATTATGTTCTGGACACCACTCTAAATGCCAGAGCTATAAATACAAAAAGAATGACAGTTCCTCCCCACAAGGAGCTTACATTTTCTTGGAGACGACAACATACAAAAGGAAGTTGAAAATGTATGGGGTGAGGACAATGTAGTTGTGGAGCATTGTAGAGAAGTTCAGATGAGTATAGCCTGGGAGAAATATTGAGATGGCTGGCCTGGATCCCCTCCTTATTGGAGGATCTGGGAGGAACCATGCAATCAAAGGGAAGCAGACAGTATTTTTGGAGTTATGAGTTGCAGAGCTTAAGTGAACTTCCAAGATGAGGAGGTGTCTGAGCATGGTAAATAAATCCAGAAGAGAGCATCTTTAGGATCTTATAGACACCCTCCTTTCCTTCCTTCTTATATGCATCACAACAAAATTAAAGGGGAGCTTCTTATATTAAAATACAATGGAGAAACTGACCTTACAACAGTCAGGAAATAACTAACAGTGCCTGTCATTAATGAGGGGAGGAAGTCAAGAAGACTCTTACAATGCCAACAAGTTGTTTAATTTTAAGCTTTTGTGTGAAAAATCAATAGGTGACAATACTGAAAGTCTGTGTAGCTGACCACTTAATAAGCAATTGCTATAGACAGATCAGATGAGATAGTATCTTTCCCCTTGATAGAATATTTCAGGAAGGGAGAATGAGCTCTTCTTGATGTTGGAATTTTCCCATCTGGCATAAATAAGCACCCTCCCAGATTCTAATGCATGAGCACCTAATTTTTAACTTTCTTGTGGGGAGAGAGATTATTATTTTATTGTACATACTTTTGCATATTTTTTCCCATGAAATCTCCCCTCGCTAAACAGGACTAAGTCCAATTAGTAGCTGAACCACTATTGACTGATATGCTTTTTTAAAAAAGTCTTTTCTTTATGGCTTTCTTAACATCTTAAAAATGTGTATGCTTCAATTTTTTCTATAATTAGGTGCATCTGTGATCTCATCAAATAGTGAAGATCAGTTCTTCCTCCTTCCACACTTGTCTTGTCCATGTCCTCCCATCAGTCTTCTCCATGGATTCCACTTCTTCTTGTTGCTAGTTAGTTCTTTATTTTCAAAGAGGACCAATGACATCATGGGGTGATGTCTTGACTCGAGCATGATTTAATTTAAGTGAGACAGTCACACAAAGTCATCAGCCTCACTCTCTCTTCCAGAGTCACTGAAGTCCAGTGGCAAGATAAAAGTCAGGACAACTGGTGATGGCCTGGGATGTGGTGGATGACCTTGGTATCTTCAATGTCTGACCAAGCTCCACAGTGTCTGCTTCAGCCACTTTCATGGTCATTGGAACAAATTGTTCTCGTCTGCCCATTCTGCCAGGGGAAGTCTTTACATGCTTGGGACAAACATCATCATACTTACTAATGGGTTTGAGGCCCATTGGTTATGGGGTGTTCAGGGAAGACTAGTACCTCTGATATGAGGGCTGCCAAGCCCTTTTCAAGACTGATCATCCACCTTTGGTGTCCACCTTTCACCCAACTCTCACCTGTGGCTCCAAGAAGCTATAGCAGCCACATCCTGGTAAAACCATCTCAGCCAACAGGTTAAATCAGATTCCACTTAGTGTGCTTGTGGCCTTCCTTATATTTCTCTGACAACATCCTTTATGCCATCTCACTTTCAAAATTCTTTATTGGCAATATGTTGCAATCTATCTGTACCTACCATGTGCCTCTCTGGGGCTCACTGGATGACATACAATGTCAGTTTTTCAGAGATTATTGTATAATTCAGAGCCATACAGAAGCACTGGAAGAATTCAGAATACATGAAGGATCTGTGGTTTTGTCAACTTATGGAACTCCTGACACAGGAATTCCTCCCTCGAGTACAGGTGACAACCTGCCTACAATTGTGTAGATAAAGATAAGTTCAGTGGAACTTCTTGATACAGATGATGGTTAAGTGCCTTGTCCAGAGTTATTTAGGTAATAATTATCATATATGGGATTTAAACCCACAGCTTTCTGACTTCAAACTTCCATAAAACCTTCCCTAGCTAAAAAAGAACCAGGTCTGGCTCTATTGACTGTTATGCTGAGAGAGAGAGAAGAGAGAGAGAGAGAGAGAGAGAGAGAGAGAGAGAGAGAGAGAGGAGAGAGAGAAGGAAAGGAAAGGAAAGGAAAGGAAAGGAAAGGAAAGGAAAGGAAAGGAAAGGAAAGGAAAGGAAAGGAAAGGAAAGGAAAGGAAAGGAAAGGAAAGGAAAGGAAAGGAAAGGAAAGGAAAAAAGGAAAGGAAAGGAAAGGAAAGGAAAAAAGGAAAGGAAAGGAAAGGAAAGGAAAGGAAAGGAAAGGAAAGGAAAGGAAAGGAAAGGAAAGGAAAGGAAAGGAAAGGAAAGGGAAAAAAAATTTTAAAAGCTTCCTCTTCCTGGTCTCCTCAACACCTCAGAAATGTGCATGTTTCATTCAATTCTTCCATAATTAGATGATTTTCATTTTCATCAAGATCTATCAATAGAATAATATTGTTAAAATGATAGACCTTGGCTTCAAGAAGAAACATGGAATCCTTAAACTCATTAACATTTTCCTCCGAAAGATAATCCAACCTGCTTACCTCTTCCTGTTCAATTTTGGGCCCAACTCATTGTCCACAAGGTCTTCCATCTTCCTCTATCATATTTTGGACAATAGGCTTTCTTCATCCACTTGCTTTATGCTGTGTGAATAATTAGGCCATTTTAAGTGATCATGTATCTCATTTTGGAGGCTCTGCAATAGAACTAGAAGGGACTTATGATGCAGGTTGAATCACAAAGATAGGATTAAAGTCAACACAAGAGAGTCAATGAAGGCTTGGAACAAGATGTAGGGGCCATGCACAGGAATAAAGTCAGTAGCTGGAGGTAAGAACAGAATCAGAACTCAGAAATTTGATTAGATGGGAGTTTAGGAGCACCACAAATAAGAACGGAGAAGAGGGTAAGAAAGCAGAAAATTAGCCAAAAGCAAAGGATCGCACAGTAGCCAGACACATAATGCAGCTAAATGGCAGAGTAGATAGAACAGTGGGCCTGAAGTTAGGAAGACCTGAGTTCAAATTTGGCATCAGACACGAGTTGTGTGACCTTGGGCAAGCTTTTGCCTCAGTTTCCTCAATGGTAAAATAAGGATGACAATAACCTTTTCTTCCCAGGGTTGTTACGAGGAAAAAATGCAATATTTGTAAAAAGAAATAATATTTAAAGAACTTTTCAAAATTTAAAGTGTTATCTAGAATATCATTGTTATTATTAGTGTCATTATTGCCTAGACAAGAACGAGGATCAGTAACCAGGCTAGTTATTGTTAAATGAAGTATTAAAAAGATACCAGACTTCATGACAAGTAAATGAATCAGAAAAGAAGCCAGCAATAGAGAATTAGGCAATACATAGATCAAAGATAACAGAGAATCAGAAGCCAATTTAACTATCAGGGCAGCACCAGTAACAGTGAGATCTATACACTAAGGTAAATCTTACTTCAGACTGGAAGTCTCCTTTCTAATGTTGGAGTTGAATTCTTTAGCCCAGTGAGGACAGTTTAGTCACATTTTGGTGATATAACTCGATCAGAACAGAGAATGTAAAGTCAGAAATAAGGGCAGATTCTGACAATATGAGAAATAATCCTAACACTATGAGAAGTCTCCTCACTATGCCAAAACAACACCGTGTAGGTGCTTGTCTATTGTTTAATACATTACAGGAAAGAGGGTCCACAGCTCAGAGTTAAGGCATTTCTAGTCTATGTAACAGCACTGAGGAGCTCAGCAGCAAAAGTACACCGCTGAGAATGGTGATTTCCATGGCAGTACATTATCTTGGTACAGTGTTGGCAGGTAGACGATCAACAAGCATTCATTAAATGTCTACTAAGTGTCTGGCACTGTGCTAAGTGTTGAGGACACAATGAAAGGCAAATGACAGCATTTTTTCTCAAGAAGTACACAGTGTAATGAGGGATATATCTATATCTAATCTATACACACACGCATACATATATATATATGTAATGAGGATATATATGTATATGTGTGTGTGCATATATAGGATAAGTTGGAGATACTCAATAAAGAGAAAACACCAGCATTATAGGGGATCAAAAAAGGCTTCTTGTAGAAAGCAGGATTTTCACTGGAACTTGAAGGAAGCCAGGGAAGCCAGAAGGTAGAGTTGAGAGGTGGGATTGTCTATAATTTTTCAAACTCTCAGCGTAGAAATGAAGTATTCTTGACAATTCAAAGCTGATTGAGACCAGGGACTGTCTCTCATATCTCCAGTACCCAGAACAGCCCAGTACACATAGCAGGCAGTCAATAAATGCTAATGATCATTTCTTCATCTCTCACTGTATTTATTTCAGGATGGACTGCTAATATAGCAATGAACATAGACTATTCCCAAATAGTAGGGGACACAGCTTAAAGACCTAATCAGGAACTTAGGGAATTTTGCAAATTGTCCAAGCCACACTGAATATGTGAGATGCCTGACTCCTGACCTAGTCCTGCCCGTCCTCTCAGCTTCACAGCCTGGCTTGGACTCCATTGTCATGTTAGGCTTTCTGCACATGAATCTGTCTCTGCCTTTGTCTCTCTCTCTCTCTCTCTCTCTCTCTCTCTCTCTCTCTGTTGCTCTGCCTCTGTCTGCCTGTATTTCTCTCTCTCTCAGTATGGATAAATATAGACATATAGAAATATAGAGAAATAGAGATATTAAATGGGGATTAGTTGGCTAGAGAAACAGTCTCCATGCTTCCTGCCTGTAATGAAAATCCTCAAGCGGAAGCCAAGGAAGTTCCTCTAAGTGATTATGATCTCTTCTACTCTCAGGGCAGAAGAGGAGAGAAGAGGAGAATTAAGCTAGATATTGGCCTCACCCGTATTAAACTGACTCAATGCTTCTGCTTTCTAAAAAGTCAAATGTTTCATCTGACACATTATTGGAAATCATTCCTAAGTGACTGAAGTTGTAGTTAACTGACTATCTGGAATAGTAGAAGTAAAAATTCTTCAATATGTTAGACAGAAAAAAATGTTATCAGAGAGATCCCTATATCCAATTAGGTTTCTAACATGTCTGATTTCAATAAATATTTTACTGAACCAAATACCTGTCAGGTAATCCTTAGAAAGTGAATTTGCACAATGTTTACATATGAGCAAGAATTCAAAAAGTGCAAATGGGGTTCCAAAGATCCTCTTGTCTTCATTTTATTGATTTAATTTTCCTAAGAGGTTTTAAGTCAAATAAGATTAAAAATTCATGACATGAGATAAGGAACATAACAATGGAATTTTGCTGCCCTCTATGTTAAACCTATTTCCTAGAAGATTAATTAAATTTTTAAAAAATTTATATTATCAAATGCATTTGACATTATCAGCCAAGTCCTTATTAATTTGCCAATAAACTGGTTTATTGGAGAAATTTACTATTTTTTGTTTATTTTGATTCCTTGAAGAAGACTATTTGTGAAACTCAAACCCTTAATTATCTGTTCCACTTAGATAAAGGTGTGAACCACATCACAACAGTAGCCTCAGGCTGGTGCTTTGCACTAGTCTGAGGGGTAATATTATATATATATGAGTAGGAAAGACTTCTGAGCCTGAGGCAGAATGGAGAAACTGGTCAATTTCACAGCTCTGTTCCTCTGTGCCTTATGTATTGTTATGAAAAATTCATTAATGTGGATAATTTGTGACTTGTGTGATATTGACTCTAGAAACTTGAATCTAGTAAACAAGTTTGATTCACAACCATTGCAAAGCCAGTTTACAATTTTCAGAGCAAATTTCCCTCAAGGGTCCTGTTTCCACATACTTTAGCAAGTCCTCACTCCTGGTGCTGACAGGGAGGAGACATTCTCTCTTTGGAGGTGACCTGTGTCCTGTTCAGTGGATTAGATGATTACATGGTCACAGGCCATTGGCTTTGATCCTAGGACGCAAATGCACCCTCCAGCTCTGCACATTCCTTCCAGCAGCCCTAGACCGTCCTGTCCTTAGCACCACATAAGCTTACTGCTAGCCTGTCACAAAGATTTAGTAAAGGCACATTTTACTAAAGTAAAACATCCAAAGCTGATCAGAAATGGTCAGAAAAGGGAGAGAGTGCTGCTTATACAAGGTTGACCTTAGGGAAAAAGTCCTTGTTTGCCATACATAGGGAATGAGAACTCAGGTTTGTTTGCATGTTTGTGCTCCTCAGCTGAAAGTGAAACTGTTTCTGTTTATGTATGAGGAGAATTACATGTACCTCCATACTGGTATGTAGTGAGTGTTCAATAAATATTAATACAGTTCAATTCAAATACTCAATTCAACAAACATTTATTAAATGCCTACTATGTGCAAGGCACTGTTAAATGAATGAATAAATGAAAGATTCCGAGCTTGGTGCATCTTTCTGTGGACCAAGAATCAGAAGTCCATTAGAACTCACACCCAGTTCTATCTCATCTCCTAATCTACTGGATTCCATGCGGAGCTGGATGATGTTAGAATGCCGTCAAACTATTGTCTCTGAAAACCCTGCCTGCTAGCCTCCTGTCACATAAATGATTCCATTTATTTAGTCCATGTGACATTTGGGAACTTGGAGGAAAAAGCTGAGAGAGAAGAAACTTCACCCACGTGTAAAAATGGAAAGAGAGTCCACGGCAAGTCCTTTTTAGAAATGTCTCTTGACGATTCTAATCACCCAATTTCTGAGCTGCATTGAGATACCATCCCATTTCATGCTAAGAAGTCTCTACACTGCCTTGCTTTCACATCCTCAGCTCTCTTAGCAGCTACTGGAATGGGGGAGAGTTTTCACAGGACTAGCCATCTCTTCATTCATCAAATTCTAGTCATGTCACATAGATCTGACCATCATAGTGTTCCTGCTTCATAGCAATAACACCCTTACTTCCTAATTTTGCTGGTGCCATTTGTCTGCTATTGCTACCCACGATAGCAGAAGCATGTCTCTATCTGAGTGGGGAGGTTTGATTAGTGCAAAGCTTAAAAGGGAAATCAGGAAATGAGTAGTGCCAAAGTCAGCAAACTTTGACTTTTGATGCTTCTCTTGTTGACCTGAAGTGTCATACCTGGACCTGGATTTAGCTTAAGCACTTCTGAGACCTTGTTGTCTCATGCATGGACTAAATGCTGACCAAATGTCTAAGCCTCTCTCGTGTTCCTAAGGGTACAGGTTGATCTCTGGCTCTGTATTGACAGTTCACTGTATCACTGGTCCTGTTGACAAACTCCCACCTCTCACTATATGCCCCCCGATGAAGATCCTGCCATGGAGCCCACTCAGGTATCCTAAGCCCCAGTCACAACACCTAAAGGACAGGCTAGACAAATGAAAATGGAGCCATCTGGAAAATGCGGGACTTTACTAGATGATCACTGGAATTCTTTTCAGCTCTCAATCCTATGCTTCTACAATCAAGGTAAGCAGTGTGGTACGGTAGAAAGAATTCTAGATTTGGAGTCTAAAAACCTAGCTACAGATCTTTGCTATTCCTTGTATCATCTCTCTAATTTTGACCTCTCTGAGCCCCAGTTTTCTCATCTCAAAAATAAGGGAGCCATATTAGATGACCCCAGAAGTCCCTTCCAGGTCTAAAGCTATGACCCTATGACCTCTTGGTAACTCCTTTTATTTTACTGTTGCTAAC